TGCTATCTGATCCTGAACAAATTACTTAACTCCTATCTGCCTCAGCTTTTTCATCTGTAAAATAGAGACAATAACAGGATTGTTACGAAGATCAAATGAAGTAATATTTGTTTAAATTTTTTTAAAAGCACTCAACATAGTGCCTAGCACATAGTAGGTGCTATACAAATGCTTATCCTCTTTCTTTTCTACTTAAAGATGAAAGGGGCTTTAGAAGCTACTCAATCTGGGTATCATATTTTATAGATGATAAAACTGAAGTCTAACAAATCAAAGAAGCTAGTCTAGGCATGAGAAACCTGCAGCCTCAAGGCCACATGTGGCTCTCTAGGTCCTCAAGTGTGACCCTTTGACTGAATCCAAACTTCACAGAACAAATCCCCTTAATAAAAGGATTTGTTCTGTAAAACTTGGACTCAATCAAAAGGCTGCACCCAAGGACCTAGAAGGCCACATGTGGCCTTGAAGCCACAGGTTCCCCACCCCTAGGCTAGTGCAAGGTTGCACAAGTCATGAGTGGCACTGATATCTTCAAGTGCTAAGTAAATCCTCATTCTTCTTGACTCTGCATCTCTTGACACTGTAACCAGCCCTTCATCCTGGATATTCCCTCCGCCTTTGTTTTTTGTGGCATTGCGTTCTCCTGCTTCTCTGACCTGTTTGTCCACTCTTGCAGAATGTCCTTTGCTAGCTCGTCCTCCATTTCCTATCTCGCAGTTGTTCCTGGAGGTCTTGTCCTGGGCCATCTCCTCTTATCCTCTTACTACATTTTCTCTTTTGATGGCTACATCAACCTCCATGGGTTGAATTGTCACCTGTGTGAAGATGACTCAAAAATCTACATATCTATCCCTAATCTCTTCCTCTCTTTCTCTCTCTCTCTCTCTCACTCCCTCCCTCCCTCTCTCCCTCCCTCTCCCTCTCTCTCTCTCCCTCTCTCCTGACTACATCAACAGAAGCTTGTTTCTTGTTTCCATCTGTATATCCCATAGACATAACAAGTTTAGTATGTCTAAACTAGAAGTCATTGCCTTCCCTGCTATATCTGACCCTCTTTAGAGTGCTCTGTTTTTGCCAAGAATAGCACCATTATTCCAGATACTTTTATTCATCCTCTGCATAGCTAACAAAGTGATTTTCCTAGATCACAGATCCGATCCTGTAGCTCCCCCATTCAACAAAGTCTAGTGACACCCTATTACATCTAAGATCATCAATCTCTTTGGACAACCCCCCCTTTTCCTCTTCATAAGACACAATTCTTCTTGAGCCTTAAGAATTTCATTCTTCTAAGTTTCTCATTGCTCTGGGGCTGACTTCCCCTATAGCTTTGTAGGCCATGCGATCCTATTTATTTTTTTCTCTAAATCCTTTGAAATCTTTTCCCTCAAGATCTAGATCTAGAGGGCAGGTCAGACTACGCCCAGCTTTACTTTTTTCTATCACTGATTCAAAGATGGGGTGGGACCCATCATTTCCAACCCAATAGCTAGTTCCTGTTTGTTGATAAGAATCAGATCCAGAAGAGCATTTTCTTCATCTCTCAAAGGATAAAATTATTAAGTCAAATTAAGAAATTATTAGCTGCTTGGTTTTTGGCAGAGAGTGAGCTGAGTAGATGCCAAAGTACCTCATCATTACTATTCCATGTTTCCATGACAGAGTTGTGATCTATTTCCCAAACTTCTCATCTATTTCCTCTTATGGTCCAAGTGTTCTGCAGTATAATTCAATGACAGTGTCACAGCTGCTTAAGCCTCTGTTGAGCTTTATCTAAGGACTCTACAATAGATTTTGTCCCTGGGATTCTCAGATTTCCTCTCATGAACATATCTTCTTATTTTAATGTGTAATACTTCTATCCTCCTCCACCATCTTTGATCATCCTGCTCCTTCTAGAGCCAAATTCCAGTCATGGTTCCCAGTCTATCAAGCCTCAATAGTACCTATGGGGTTAGATTTGCTTCTTTTCCTTGGGATATCTTCTTCATCTTTTTGTTACCCAAACTTTGAATATTTTTATAGATAACTAAAGTAATTTTAACTTCTTTTTATTCATGGTCCATTTTTTATGTTTTGTTTTCTATAAATACCTGGAGGGTGGGGAGGAAAACCAGGGCTTTGTCTAAAGGTATAAAAATTAACAACTGAGTTTAGCACCTTATTAGCAAAAATAATTAGCTAAAATAGGAGGCTATCAGATGGCTACACATAGATAAAACCCAAGTGTGAGTTATTATAGTGACTAGCTCCCCCTCTACTCTACTGAACTTGGCTTAATTAATTCTTGTATAATTGTCATATCATGAATTATAGAGTTGTTAGAGGATCATTTAGTGCTGCTTATCTCAATTACGTTGTTTGCCTCGAGGGCCAAAATTGCTGTTCCTGGTTATGGCCATTCTCCCCACACTCTGGTTACTCCTTGTGGTAATGGGCACTGTCATGGTGGATATATATTAACAGTTTTCTTCTTTTCCGTTTAAAACCCTTTGATTACATTTGCAAGCTTCAGTCCAATTCATTCTTTTTAAAAATTTTAATTGTTTTCATTGTTGTTTTTAATCTCACCTTTGTCTATGCTTCCATCTTCCCAGCACTGACATCTTAATTACTTAAGTAACCTAAGGACCTCTGGATCCCACCACTGTACCTATAGGACTTCTGACCTTTCCATCTTCCCAGATTTTTCTTTTAAATGCTATCTCTCCTAATTAGAGACTGAGCTCTTTGAGAGCCGAGACTGTAGCATTTTCTATCTGTATCCCCAGAACTTGACATGAATAAGCTCTTAATAGATACTTTTTCATTCATTCTTTCATTCATATACCTTTCCATCTCACCTACCTAGTGAGTGACATGTTATAACAAGAAATTTAAAAAGAAAAACCCAACCAATATATTCACTGAGTCTGAGAGAGTATACAAGCTCCAGACCCTTAGTCCACTCACCTCCCTAAAGAAGGGAATGAGGGACTTTAAAAAAAAAATACATTTCTTCAGGGCTAACCCTCTTAGTCATTATGGTTACACAGAGTTCAGTTTTGTTTTTATTCATTTTGGGTTTTTTCAATTTCCTTTGTTATTGTCATTATGTATATTATTTTCTTGTTTCTGCCTTTTCCTGTTTGCGTCAGTTCATAGATATACATTCAGGTAAACTCATTTCTACCAGACCCTGTTAGGTATACCACATCTCTGGCCAGGAGTCTGACAGACTTCTCAGAATCCCAATTCAATCCAATCCAAAAAGCATTTGTTAAGCACCTACTAAGCACAAACACCCTGCATGACCCTGAGGATACAAAGTTAAAATTTAAAACAATCATTGCTCTCAAGGAACTTACAATCTACTGAGTTTCTTTTTGAATTGTAATGGCTGGATGCATCCAGCCAGCTTAGCATAAAGCGACCATCAGAAACTCACCCAGTTGTAGCTGAGACATGTGGATGCCACATTTGGACATGAACTTGGTGGGACCAAAGCTACATAGAAACTATATTCTCCCCAGAGATCAAAATGGTAGAGAAGAGATTTTTACTCCAAAACGCTGAGGGAGAATGATTGTTCCTCTTTTCTTGCTATGCCTTCAAAGTAAATGTTCTTTTATAAAAGCTAAGTGATGTTAATTTGTTAAAAGAAAATGGTAGCCAAGAGTGGGAGGACAATGCCTATAATTAGGACTTGAGCCAGAGAAGGACACTCCAACCCCTGGGGGGGGGGGGGAGCACTTAATACATTCTATTCCTTCAGTTCTCTTTTTCTATCACTATCACTTCCAAATGACTTTCTCTCTGCCTCCAGTAGAACCCCCACTTGTAACAAAGAAGTACAATCAAGCAAAATAGATTAACCCACTGTCCACAACTGGTAATGCATGCCTCATTCCACACCTAAAGTCCACAGCCTCTCTGATGCAAGGCAAGGGACTTCGCTGTCAATTCTCTGAATTCATAATCACTCAATGCATTAACCAGAATTCTGAAGTCTTTCATTGGAATTTTCCTTTCCATTATCACAGAAATTGGATAAATCATCTGAGGTTTGTTAACATTGCTCTAAATAAGTTCACCCAAATCTTCCCAAGTTTCTCTGAATATTTTATGCCCTTAGTTTTTTTTTTAATTTATTGTTTCTTTATTTTAACATTCTTTTTAAAAAAATTGAGTTCCAAATTCTCCCCCCCCCCACACCTGTCCCACCCACTGAGAAGGCAAGCAATATAATATCAATTATGCATGTGAAATCATGCAAAATTAGCCATATCACAAAAATAACAAGACAAAGAAAGTTAGAAAATTATACTTCAGTTTGCACTCAGAGTTTATCAGTTCTGTCTCTGGAAGTGGACCGCATTTTGTCATCATGAGTCCTTTGGAATTGTCTTTGATTGGATCAGGGCAGCTCCTTGACCTGTAGCATTTTCTATCTGTGTCCCCAGAGCTTTGTTGGTCGCTGTTTTTACATTATTGTCTTTTTCTGAGTTTGTGTTTTGATCTTCCCTGCCAGCACAGTAACTTTTTATGGTAAAATTCTGTTGTTGTTGTTGTTTGCTCATTTTTCCAGTCTATTTTTGGACTTTGAGCTTTATGTTAAAGTTGAACTCTACTCACTTGGGGATGGGGAGTCACTGTCTCAAGCTTCAGGCTTTTTCATGCTGCTGTTTTTAGAGCTAGTTCTGGTGGTGTGCAAATCTTTAGTACTTCCAAGCTGGAAACAGGTCTAGTCAGCCATTGCTCCCCTGGTCTGCACTCTGGTCTTAACCCAAAAAGGATCCCTACTCCTCTCCAGCTGTAAACCTAGTGCTCCTTTTAGCCCTGGAACTATGGCCAGGCTGTAGGCTCTTCTACAATCACGAGTGCTAATGCTCCACTCTGCCTTGGAACTGTGACCCAGAACTGCCTCTGGGCAATAGGGTTGCCAATCAGTACCTACTGCACCCACTGCCGGTAAAGGGTCCCCTGAAATCTCTTTTTGACCAGTTATCTGACCCCCTTACCTTCTCTGGGTTGAGAGCCTCCAAAGCTGCTAGTGTCACTGTTTTAGCCACCTCCAAGGCTGGTTACTGGTGCTGCCACCATCTGTGCTCCAGGCTGGCACCTATACCAGTGTCAAAGACCTTTTCTGGTGACCTCATAAGTTGTCTTACACTGGAAAAATGCCTCTCCCTGACTTTCTGTTGGCCCTGCAGCTCCAGAATTTGATTTGATGCATTATTTTAAAGTTGTTTGGAGGGGAATGTAGGGAAAGTTCAGCTGGGTCCCAGTCTGCACTCTGCCATCTTGCCTTCCTTTTCTGTCCATAGTTTCTGATGTTGCAATAATATCCCATTACATTAATATACCACAATTTGTTCATTTTCCAATTAATAAGAGATTACTGTGGCAATGTTCAGATATTCCTGAGGACATTGGACAAAGTTTCCAGGATAGAAGCCATTCCAGGGCCCAGAGACTTCTCTTTTCACTGCAATATCTGAAGAGTTTTGCTGAGTTGTGTGTGTCCCAGGCTCATATCAGAGTTGCCCAATCTGGTCTGCAGAGTCAATAGTTTTTCATTGCCAAGCATTCAGAATTAAAGCTGTCCTTTTGATCTAAGCATACCCAGTTTGAATAAAACATTGTAGACTTCAGTAGAAAACGTGTAGAGCTTCCAGTAATGTATGTGGCAATTTCTTCTTAAAATATTCTATTGATGTCCTTTTTTAAACACCACTATTACTTCCCAATGACTCTCTCCTCACCTCTAGTAGAATGAGCCCTTGAACAAAGATGGGTCTTTAGCCTAGGAAAGGACGGGCTTAAACTCAGCTTAGTTTTTCTTTTTAGTTCTATTCCCAAAAGAATCAAGAAGTAACTTGGGCAACATTGTAGATCAGAGTTCACATTAAGTGAGTGGTGCATTTTGGGAAACCACACCAGCAATGATTTTTATTCTGTAAACAGAGGGAGGCCATCCCAACTCTCATTACAAAGGATGGGTTGATCACCTGTCCTGAGTCAGGACAAACTTTTCGAAATGCTTGTAATGAAAAAAATGCAAGTCTTCTCTGTCCAAAGATGAGGAAAAAAAATACCATTCCCAAAGGACACCGAGCCAGCACCAAGAAATTCTTCATAAAGAGTAACCTTTTGTCCTTTCTTGAAAGCCTCAATAAACACTTTGTATTTCTGTCATGCAGCCAGACTCCTCCTTCCACAGCTAGCCAGCCCTATTTCTAAACGTGAAGACAATCGTCAGAATGCCCCACTGATCATTCATTGGCTTCCTTATATTGGAAGGGATAAACCAGTTAAATAAATCCGAACAACATGAAGAAGCCTTGCATATGTGGCTGAGTGCAAATAAGCTTGGCCTCTCAGATCAGGTTTTTCAGATTCTACTCTGGCCTCAACAAGTCAGGGAAAAGAATGGGAATGGCCACTTCCAAACTGACCAACTTCTCTTTGTCTTAAACACCTCCATTTCTTCTATCTTCTAGTCCTCCCTGAAACCTAGCTCCCTCCGAATGATCATTTATCAGAAGATCTTATCCAGTAAGGTTTGAAATTTCACATCCACAAGTGATGGGGGAGGGAAGTTGGAATACTTCTTGTTCTCCATTGCCATTTTCAGACCCTCCCTCTGCCATCATCACTCAGTAACCTCTTCTCTTTTGATATTCACATAATCCAAATTTGTCGACCAATCCAGATACAGATGTTTGTTATCTATCTACTCAACCACATTCTCCTTTCTTCCTCTGTGAGTACAGTGTCTGGCTCACTGTCTTTCTCTTCTCTCCCTCTCCTGCACTCATACTGGGGGACTTCAACACGTATTGACATACCCTCAGATACCCTAACACCCCAGGTCTTCAATCTACTTTGTTCCCGTTACCTACTTCTCCATTCTAGCTACGTGCAAGAGATGGTGACACCTTTGACCTTGCCATCACCCATCACTCTCTTCTGTGCTAGTGAAATCTGTAATTACTTTATCTGATTATGGCTTTTTTATCATTCCACTCTTCCCACTGCTTTACAACCCTTACCCCTGCCCTTTGTCCTCACTATGACCTCTAATCCCTCCACCCATGAGCCCTTTCCCAGGATCTTTCCCTGCATGGGCCATACTCTCCTCTCTTTCTTGCTTCAACCCTTTGGTGAACCAACTTCTACACTCCATTCCCTTGTCCCCTTGTTCTATTGCTGATCACACTTTGTTAAAACTCCAACCCTGGATTATTCCCACTGTACGCCTCCTATCCCCTTCTCCCCCACTTTCTGGCTCTATTTTTTTCTTGCCTGGCCTATTATGATGCAAGTTCAAATCTGGCCTCAGACAGTTACTAGCTGTTGACCCTAGGCAATTCACTTAACCCTATTTGCCTCAGTTTCCTCATCTATAAAATGAGCCAGAGAAGGAAATGGCAAACCACTCCAATATCTTTGCCAAGAAAAGGGGTCATGAAGAGTTAGACATAATTGAAATAAATGTCTGAAGGAAAATAGGATGTAAGCTCCTTACGGGTAGAGAGTGTCTTCCTTTCTTCTCTACTCTTCTCTTATCTCTTTCTTTTATCTCTTTCTCTTACCTTTTATTTTGTATCCTTAGCACTTACTTTGTCTGGCTCATTGTTGTAATTGTTGTAGTTCAGGCTTAGGTCCCATCCAACTCTTTGTGATCCCACGTATCATACCTTGCCAATGCTGTCCGTGGGGTTTTCCTGGCAAAGATACTGGAGCGCTTTGCCCCTTCCTTCTCCAGAGAATTAAAGCAAACAGAGGGTAAGTGACCTGCCCAGGGTCATCCAGCTAGTAAGTGCCTGAGGCCAAATTTCAACCCAGGTCTTCCTGGGTTCAGGGTTCAGGCCCAGTGCTCTATCCACTGAGCCACCTACCTGACTTATAATGAATAAGTAATAAATGTTTTATGAATGTATCTATTATCTATCTAACTACTTATCTATCATCTTATCCACTTGATGATGAATGAAACTAGAGGAAATCAGAAAACCGCACTGAATGGACCCACTACCAATTTGTTATCTTATCTCAACTGAGCCCTCACTATAGCAAGACAAATATTCTATTCCTCCCTAAATCAATTTGCTAACCTACTCCCCACAGAAGCTGCTCTAAACCTTCTCTCTCTTCAAACCTCCCTTAGCTTCTCTCCTCCCACCTTCTTAGCTGAGGACCTAGCCTTATATTTCACCAAAAAATTGAGGTGACTACCAAGATCTTCTCCTTCTAGTTTCTTCATCATCTCACATCATTCAGACGCCCTCCTCTACTATATTCTCCTTCAGTCCCATCTCAGATGAAGAGAAGCCAAGGCAAAATCCTCAACGTGCACCCTTGATCCCATCTCTACCCTCCCCACCCCATATTCTCCAGCAGATTGACTTCTTTATCCTTCTCTGTCTCTCTCTCTCTCTGACTCTGTCTCTGTCTGTCTCTCTGTCTCTCTCTTCCTCCTATTATCTGTCTCCTTTCCTGACATCTACAAATATGTCCATAGCTCTCCCATCTTTTAAAGAAATAAAACCCTGGATCCCCAGTAGCTGTATCCCTACACCCAATGCCTCTACTTCCCTTTTTTCTCACTCTTTTCTAAACTGTTTTTCAGTCTTGCTTCCAACCTCATCCTTCAACTAAAACTGCCCTTTACATATTACCAGTAATCTCTTAATTGCCAAAGCTCGTGGCTTTTTACAATCCTTATCCTTCTTGACCTCAGAATCAGGGTGATTACCACTGTCAATTGCCCTTTTCTCCTAGATGTTCTCTTCTCTCCAGCACTCCGTGGTACTCACCTGATTCTCCTCTTAGCTGATTCTCCTCAGTTTCCTGTGCTGGTTCTCATGTCTACATCACACCTACTAACTCCAGGGGTGTCCCAAGTTTCTGTCCTGAGTCCTCTTTTCTTTTCATTTTATACAAGGGGTTCCTGACCTTTTTTGTGTGTCATGGACCCTTTGGGCAGACAGTCCGGTGAAGCCTGTGAACCCTTGCTCAGAGTAATGTTTTTAAATGCATAACAAAATTACCTAAACTCTAGAGCATCAGCTGTGGGGAAAATCCCAGGGAAAAGGACTTAACCTGGAATCACTCAACCGAATCTACAGCCTATCATTTTCATCCTAATTTGTCATGTTTGTAGCTTGTGAAAACACTCACCCTGCCATTTCCTTAGCTGCTGCTGAAAATTCATTCAAAAGCCAAAGAGCAGATGACACATTAGCAAATCTAATGGGGTGAAGCCGGGAGACCTCCCAGAGGTGTGAAGGCTGGGGTGGTGGTGGTGGTGGTGATGAGAAATGAGTCAGGTTTGGCAAACTCATCAGACAAAAAGAAGGACTCAACTCTCAATTATTCCACTTGGGGCTTACCGCTTTAGGGACTATCCTCAGTCAATGCCTTTATCCATTCTCTAAGAGACTGTATCCTCCACCTTCTGAGCAGTACCTCACCCCACCTCCTCCTCCTCCTTCCTCCATCAAACAATCAGCAAGTATTTGTTAAATGTCTACTGTGTGTCAGAGAGGCAGCATGGCCTCGGAGCAAGTCTAGCCTCTGAGGTACACTGACTGTGTGACCCTGGGCAAGTCACTTAACCTCTAGACTTCTAGGGAGCTCTGGAGCATTGTAAATTTCAGAGGCTGGGTAGTTCTGCATTGGAAAAAGGAGTTTTCTCCTCTGGGAGAGTTTTTTATACCAATAAAATCACAGTCTCTAGCCCTAGGCCTAGGCTGAGCCCTAAATTAGGCCCTGGAGGTACAAAGGCAAAAGTGTCACAGCCCAGCTGTCATTCTGTTGGGGGAGACAACCTGGTGCGCATGTGCGTGTGCACACACACTCACACACGTACACACAGAGGCATACACATACACATGTATACATATATTTTTTTATGTATACAGTCAAGTCAACAAGTATTTATCAAGCAACTACTATGTTATAGGCACAGTGTTAATCATTATGTATGTGTGATACATACATGACAATATTATGTGATGTGATATATAATATAATGTAATACAATGATATAATACAAATATAATACAATGATGTAATACAAAAATATAATAGGATATATGCATATTTGCAAGCAGAT